TTCTTTTTGGAAGGAAGCTCCACCACTGAGACAGACAGACAGACGAAAGATTAACGTATTTGTATAACTGGAAGTGACAGAAAAGAAAATAACATTTATATGGATATGTTGATAGGTAGTTTTAATATTTCATCAAGTCTATCAGGAAAAAAATCAGCACTAGGTTTGATTGCCACAAATACCACCCTCATACAACTTGAATCCATAATGTACTGGTTTTCAATCTTTTTTTGTTGTAAAACATGCAACATAGAAATTCCCCTCATGAATCCACCTTCCAATCCCCCATTTTTCCTGAAACAACTATAGTAAACAATTAACTTAACACATGAGATGGCTGTGGCTGTAACTGCTAGATCACATCTCCTCATTTTACATCTGGGCTATGTTTACTCCCTGGGTGTCAGACCTAATTTTCTCTTCCTACCTGTGACTTCCACTGCCCTACTCTCTTTTACAGTTTGGTTCTGTTGTCCTATGTTTGCTCTAGTGCTCCATTTTGGTGTAATCAGGATACACAGTCAATGATTTTAGTCCAAAAGGACATTACCCAAGGTAGAGAGGCTCTATGTTGTTTTTATTGGTCAAAAACATCATCAGAAACATCTAGTTAGGCCTTGACTGGGCTATGAAAAATCTGGATAGACCTTAACTGCACTACAATTATCAGCAAGCAACACATGGACTATCTAGCAGTGCTCTGTGAGCCAACAGTGGTATGCAGAGCAGTTTCTGAACTGCTGCCACAGAGTTTTCCTTGGATGTTTTCATATACTCAAACAGTGGATTTTATAGTTTGGGAAAAAAAGAACACCCATAAACCCACTTGTTCAGAGAAATTCAGTGGAACCTTTGGTAGAGCTCTGATTTTTATACTGTGTAGTACCGGAGACTTTCTCAGATATTTCAGTGGTACTTTACACACACACAGAACAATCACTGAAACAGCTAGCGAGTTTATGCCATGTTGGTACTTTGACATAAAACGTCTAATTTTTCAAAAGATAAATGTACGTACCATTGTAGAGTTTTACTGCATCTGCTGTTAGGAGCTTCTTTATTACAAGATACGCAGCGCATGGCTCAGGTAATGAACTCCAATGAAGAACTTGTTCCAACACATTCTCTGTGTAGTGTAGAGGGCGCTCTAAAAATGTCAAAAGTGTAAAAAAGAAAACATAACAGACAAGAAACAACAAAAACAAAACCACAGGTCCTGGTAGGTTACATAAGCCTAAGTATTAATGTGGATCTCTTTAAAACATGGAACCTTACCTCGTTGGTTGTTCAAGTGAATTCTACAATTAAGCATTTACCTCTACCCCAACACTTTTGCTGCTATGTTCCAAATAAATTTCAATTTCAAGCAATGCAATGCAATGCATACCCAGATGAACATCAGCAAAGTGTTTAAAAGAACTCATTATATTGAACTCTTAATGGACCCTTCTGAAAGGACATAAAATACATAACTGTACTACATACTATCTAATGCAAAAGTTAGATTTAAACATAATTTTATATTTTTATTATGGTAACACCGATGGTGCCAGCCCAGTTGGGCCCCATTGTGCGAGGCACTGTACAAAGTGACATTCTCTGCCCCCAAAAGTTTGCAATCTAAACTATAAATATAAAATTTCAGTTATGGCAAATAATTTCCTCTTTCTCATCATCACAATCTGTAGTAATTTATTGGCATAAATTAAATTATCCATTAAAAAGGACACAAACAGATATTGGGCCAAATTCTTGGCCCCACTCCGTTCCCTTTGCAAAATAGTTATGCAGTGCTGGCTTATCAAACCAGGAAATCAACCGACCCTGGCACAGGAGATATAGCACGATAAAAGAGGGTGTGGGCACAGTGTCAATGCATTTCAGTAATCCCTGAAGGCAGAAACGCACTTTAGGGGCATCAAATGGTTACACACAGTCAATATGGCCCTGGCCAACCCAAGGATCACTGGCCAATTCAGATGGTGTTTGGGAGCTGATGGCCTCCAGCAAACCCTCCTCTCTTATGTGTTTAAGCATTCTTGGGCATGCAGCAGCCTTTTCTTGCTGCTGAAAGTTGTCTCATCCACTCCACCCTATAGGTGATGTCATTATCACACCTGGGTTTCCAGGCTTCCTATGGGCCTAATCAGATTATCTTTAGGGGGTCAGGAAATAATTTTTTCCTCTGACAAGATTGGGAAGGTGTCTAGTGGGTTTTTATTTTATTTTTTTACCTTCCTAAAAATGCTATTGGCCTGGTAGGTGGAGATGATAAAGGGATAGTAACCCACTTCCAAAAAAGGAGGAAGTAATAAAAGTTAGTAAGTGTCACTGTAACTTGGAGTCAGTGTCCAGAGTGACTAAGAGGCTTCAGGAGGCCAGATCCTGGGATAAACCTGAGCACTGGACTCAGAAGGAAATTATAGAGCCTGTGAAGTCCTCCTCTCGCCCCCAAGACTCAGTCTTCACAGTCTGAGCAACCTTTCATCTCTGCCTTCATTCCTTCTGGCACAAAGGTGGTGTAATTCAACAATTGGCTAAATTATGAATTTGGTAGTGGGTATCTAACTAAGGGGGCAAGCTTCATTCTTTGATTGTATGTTGTGATTTAACCCTGTACTGGACTCAATTAAATGTCTGGTAGCTTTTGGGAAAGAGGAAGATCAGCAACCCATTTAATATTAAAAATAATAAAGCTGAGGCCTATCGTTTTAAATCCTTCATATTATCCCTAGCATGGATAGGTTTCCATGATCCTGGGTGCCTAATCAATATAGGTATATTTTTTATAAAATGCCTAGGTGACTTAGGAGACTTTTTGAAAATATTTTAATATATTGAGATGTTTTGAGAAAGACATTTTCATAAACATTTGTTAATTTCCCCCAGTAACATTTCTTAGATTTAATATTAATCTGAATGTATAATGTTATCCTAGTTTATATAAACTAATTACAGCAAGTTTTCGGTTTGCATTGTCACAACAATTTAAACAAATAAATATAATGTGACTCAATGGAATGTAGGTTCAGTAGGCTGAGCTGTGGTGGGAGAGAACAACATGGCACCCTTTAAACAATGTGCTTAGGAGTCATTAAGGCCAGAATTTTGAAGAGCTCAGTGCCCACAACTGAAACCAGATTTTCAAAAAAGTGCCTAGCTCCTATTAAGGCACCAAAAAAAGCAGTCAGATTTTCAGAAGAATTGGTTGGGCACACATTGGGCATTGAACTGTTTTGAAACTCAGGTTTGGAAACTCAGGAAACAATTGGGGCCAGAAAGTTCAGCCCTCTATCTCTAAAAGGCGTCTGCCTCCTAAACAGCGAGGGAGAAGCATGGCACCTAGAAGGTCTTGCTACCCATTTTAAAAAAAGAACAGGAGTATTCTATGCAAGCACAGGCAGCCAGACATGCATATGGACACATCATTGCAGTAACACCCGTGGGGTTGGTCAGTACTGCAAACTGCACTAGTAGAACCTCTTTTCTTGCACAATGGCCCAATGGGAGAGAGGTATGATGGCATCTCTTTTATTCACCAGCACAGTGCAGTGGGAGGCATAATTTAGCTTTGCATAAGAAATGATTTACTTAAAGGCATATTAACCCAGTTATTAAGCTTTTTTGTAATTGTTCAGAAGCGATGATTATGGGGAAGATTAGCAATAGTCTTCTGTGGTCAGTAATTCAATAGTCCCTTTAAAACTGTGCCTGTACAGGAACTTTTATTAAAGTAATCCTAACTTTGGAAGAGATTTAGGAGTGGGGTGGTCCTTTAAATGTAATAACATTAAACCAACTAATTTCCTTTGTAAAAGAGTTAAAATTCAACCTTAAAGCAAAATTAAAAAAAACAAAAAAAAAAAACAAAAAAAAGCCAAGATGAACCTGGCACATCACCACATTTTCCTAGAATATAAATGCTCCCAAAGTAAACACCTACTCTTTTATTTATAGCTACATTTAAGACCATCTGTCATCATAGATTATATGGTACATAAATCATCATGCTAAAATGCATTAGCTATTTTGCTGGCAACATACCTCCTTTACAAGCTATCCATCTCACAAATATTACTAAAAAATGACATCGATCCTATTTGGTAATAGCATATGGTACTATGAGTTCTCTGCAAAAGGCCAGATAATTTTACCAATTATTTCAACTGTTCTATATGTAAATAATTTAGTTGATTTTTAATATTGTAATTTCAGTATTTCTAACATCAAATGGTCAACATATAGTTCCAATTACCCTGTTTCTAAGGTCATTATGCATTTGCTGGTAAATATCCAGAACAAGTTATTTTGGTCTGAAACAGCAATAATGAGAAGGAAATTACATTTCAGATAATACAAGATGTTAATTTTCTTGACTTCTGAGGGTTCATTTTCAGCATGATGCCCAAGAAATTGTTTGACAATACACAAAAAAGTGCAGCTCCCCAGAGACTGCAGGGTAGACGCTAATGAACTGAATCTCCCAATGCCCTGGACAGGTGCCAATAGACAAGTACAATGATACATGCTAAAAATACTTTATCTTCTGTACTGATGTGTCTGAAAGAAGTTGTGGTCATCAGCATGATTTGAAGCAAAACAAGCAAATCTTATCATCTGGGTCTCCCAGTCTCTTCTCTTATTTGTGTCTTTTAGACTAAGCTCCTTGGGACAGGGACTGCACAGTCCACAGCATGACAAACAAATGTATTAAATAATAACATTAACAAAGGCAACTTGGAGACCAAATATATTTCGTTGGCTCTTATCTCCCCAGTTTGGGTCCAGGAGTAAAGCTGTAGCATTATATATATTAGCCCAATTACTTTTTATATATATTTCAGGCAAATTAGAGAAGTGATGATAATGAGATCTGAGCCTTTGAGGTCATTATGGGAGTCTTTCCATTAATTTTAATCGAAGTTGGGTCAGGCCTTATCTGGAGCTGTGATGTGAACTTCTAAAACAAGGAATGATCCTGAGAGGCACTGCGTATCCACCTACTCCTATATCAGGATTAGACCATAGTTAAATTTGTGGCAGACTAGCTTTCATGAGTTTAAGGCCAGAAGGAAACATTAGATATGACCTCCTGTATTTCACAGGCCTTTACATTTTACCCAGTTACCATTGTATTGAGCCAAATAACCTGTATTTAGCTAAAGTGTATCCATGAGAAAGGCATCCAATCTTGATTTGAAGAACCTCTCTACACCATTATTATTTTTTCAATAAATGTTCTTATGTTCAGTTTGGGTTAGATGTTTATGTCTATCTAGAATCAAGGTATTTTAGCCTTACTTCTCAGAATTTCCTGGCACATGCCATAATATTTTGTTAGTTTGCATGGCCAATATATCAAATTTGCCTCTTCTGTAGACTACAGTACTCTGTAGCACATAAATTAATATAAAGTTGCCTTTATTTTCAAGTCTCAATGGAAGTCTCAAATTAAATTTCTGGGCATCTTAATTTTCTTTAATCTGAAATTATATTAAAACCAAAAGAAATGTGACACTTTGCTTCTGATCTCCTTTCCCTTTCCTCCTCTCTTCTGTTATTTAAAGATTAGCTATTTTTGTATTTACTATATAAGGGGCAATATTTCTTGCATGGTAACTTTTCTCCATTAGTCTTTGCTTTTAGTTTCAACCTTGGGAAGAACTGCTTTTAAGTTTAGCCAGGACTCCACAGAATCTCCGCTGAACAAGTGCCTCTCCTGTGTTTACTAATCTCATCCCCCACTTCCAACAATTTACCTGCTTCCTGTATTGCACAGGTCCCCCCCTCAACTCTGAGGAGTAGGGATTACAGGCTGCTTGTACCAGTAGGTCCCTCAGGAAGACTTTCAAACAATAGAAACATACAGGCTTCTGTTGACTTAACCGAGACACTGAATCAGGTCTTCTGTGTTTAGTTAGTTTGCCCCCTATTTATGGTTAATTCCCTGAACTTTGTGAATCTCTGGCTTTTATTGGCTTCCCCCAGACCCCATCATACACAGGGCTTGTAGGGTCTCCCCCTAAACTTGGTTTTACACCTCCTCCAACATCACTAGTTCAGTCAGCCTTTCAGGCCAACGCTGTACTCGTCATTGCATCCAAAATACTTCACAACCTAGCTTACCAGCGTCTTTGCTTTTATCTCTTTCCACTACCCCCACCCCCTCCTTTCATATCCCCTTAAATCCTCATTTGCCAAATTTGTACTCCATTTCAGTACTTCAGCAAATGAGTAAATTTCAGGTACTATCTAAATAATAAATAATCTGTTTGTATTCATCATTTGTCATCACAGTCAGTCAAAATAAATAGGTCAATAAAATGCCAAAGTTTTGTGATCCCTCTGGCTGCATTACAGGTAAGAGTCTTTGATGCTATTACAACCTCTTTGGAGCCAACCAATGCTCATGCATTCTAAGATGTTGAGGAAAGTTTTGACACTTAATTTAATTGAAAAGTAGTGATTCAATCCCATCATGTTTGCTGATACTGCGAGGCCAGCACTAAGTATGGCAGCAATTCTGGTAATTCTTTAAGGCAAGGGTTCTCAACCTTTTTCTTTCTGAGCCCACTTCTCCCCTGCCACATGCTATAAAAACTCCACGGCCCACCTGTGTCACAATAATGGGTTTTCTGCACATAAAAGCCAGGGCCGGCGTTAGGTGGTAGCAAGCAGGGCCTCATGCCACAGAGGCCCCCGCAAAGCTACATTGCTCAGGCTTCGGCTTCAGCCTCGGGTGAAGGGGCTCAGGGCCTGGGCTTCCACCCCATGCGGCAGAGTTTCCTGTCCTGAGTCCCAGTGAGTCTAATGCTGGCCCTGCTTGGCGGCCCCCCTGAAACCTTATCGCAGCCCCCCCCAGGGGACCTCGGACCCCTGATTGAGAACCTCTGCTTTAAGGGATTTTAAAAATTATATTCCAGATCAGCGTTTGGGGATTATCCATGGCAATCCAGAGAATTTGACAATCCCAGTTTTCACAACTTTCCTCCCATTTAATTTATTGTTTTTAAATTTAATAAAGAATGGCCCATGTCAGAGAAACAAATTATTTCACACTTTGCAAAGAAGATGACCAAACTATATAGGTACCACATTATTCTATACCACACAAACACACAGAAATGTAAAAACTCTATAAACCTTACTTTGTAGACACGATACATGTTTTTTTCCCTAAGACTATATATATCTTTCAAAATGTCAAAATGGCCCCTGTGGTAAGTGAGTGGGTGACAAGATACAAAATATTAGTAATAATATGTCAATGATGGCATAGCTGCCGTCCTTCTCTTACTATGTTTAAATTTATAACAGAATGTACCTTCATTTTAATAACTTCTGTCATTTTAACCGTGAGTTCCAGCATTAAAACTGCACTCCAAGTGTTGGATTAGTAGAAGAGATTCAGTACTTACAACACTTTTTTTATTTCTCCTTATAACTTATGAACTATATTGTGACCTTTTGGCCTTTGGTGTTGTCAGCTTTACAGTGATGTTTACATACATTTTGTTTACCTCATTATGTATCTTACAGCCCAGTGTGATAAATGTAAAATGATACAACTTTTGCTTGTGTTTTTTTCTAGCTTTTTAAAAGTAAATTGACTGAAAAAAATTAACAAGAGTGCATTCTCTCTAAAGAACTGCATACTTTCTTCGAGCATCTTCTCCCAAAAAGTCAGTATTACTTATGAACCAAATGCTGATCTTCCATTCTGAATACATTTTGTGTTTGAAACATTATTATATGAGTCTATTGTTATTTTTTTTCTGGAAGTATGGGCCATAAGTTTACCAAGTTTACCAAGAACCAACAACATTTTTCTACCACATATTTATGAGCCTTCAAGCCAACTTATTAAATCAGTTTTTAATGAACCAAACTGGAGGAAAGGATCACTTTGAAATTCTGATGCCCAAAGAGGTGGAATGGACCTTCATTATATTTATAGGCTTTATGTTTTGACTTTTTGTTTTAGGTTTCCACTACAAGTAAGAGGGAACTGGAGATTCTTAGAGATGTGTCATCCCTATTTGTATTCCATACATGGGTGCACACATGTGCCATGCTCCTGAGTCCAAAAGTTTTCCTTAGCAGTGTCTATTGACCCACATGTGCATCGTGCTTCCTCTTGTGCTCGCAGCCGAGGGCACATAATAGGTTGTGCAGGTCGACGCCTCTCCAGTGTCCTTACCGCTGAGTAGTCCAGTCCATAGCAGAGGGGATGGAGGGTGGGTATTGGAATACAAATAGGGACCATACATCTAAGTAAACCTCCTCTTCTTCTTCAAGTGATGGTCCCTATATGTATTCTATATGTGGGTGAGTAGCAAGCAGTGATCAGCATGGAGGTGGATGTGAGAGGAACTGCAATCTGTAGTACGGCATGGCCTACAGCGGAATCTGCAGCTATCGCTTGGTCGACGTGAATGTGGAGACGGAGTTCCAGGGTGCACAACAGATTGCCATGGGACATCTGCAAGGCAGGCTGATGTGGCTGCTTGTGCTCATATAGAGTGCACTGTGACTCCATCAGGTGGTGGCACATTAGATTGTTTAGCATTTGCGGATGCACCTGGAGACCCATTTGGAGATTCATTGGGAGCAGAGGGCTTGGCCCTTGGATCAGTCAGCAATGGTTACAAAGTTTCAGCGATGTGCAAAAGGAACTACTATCTACACCTATAACTATATACAAATGGACAGAAGCCACTGTCATAGCAAAAGCTAAGAGTGCAAAGGAACAGGGGTTCTGACTAAGGCCATATGGCAGTGTGACAAGGTGCTAAGCAGAAAACTGCTTAGCCCACCCTCTGTCACTCCAGCTACAATTAAGGGAGGTGAATTGGAGCTGGGTAGACCACCTGGCCCTCATCGGGGAAGCTTGAACAGCTGCTGCCTCAGGCTGGGGCTGGATAAGAGCCCCACGGGAAGGAAGTCAGGGGGGAGCTGGAAAGAGGAAAGGTGCATTAGAGGAAAAACAGAGAGATAGCTTGCCCCCTTTCTCCTGCTGGTTGACTGCAAGAAGGGGACTACTTGTATGGTGGAAAGGTGGTGGGAACACAGCCTGTAAATAAAAGCACCAGGTGGGTACTGCACCTAAAGGTCTCTGTGTGACTTTCTCTGCCCAGCGGGGGCAGGTGGGCCCTGCAGGGATGCTGTTACAGGCAGTAACAGGGAACCGGAGAGGCATTGACTGCCTGAAATATTATACCCTCATCTCTGAGCACAAGGGGACACTGCTAAGGAAAACTTCCAGACTTAGGTGCCTGGTGCACATCCACACCCATGTATGGAATACATGTAGGGACCATCACTCGAAGAAGAACTATGGAGTTTTGATTTGGTTAACTTTCCAAATGAAACCAATAATATGGTAAGAAAACACACAAATATTGTTGAAAAAAAAAAAAGTCACTAACCTAGCTCTCCATTTTCAATCACTTCAAAAGCAGCCCAGATCTCATCCTTGTGGGGAATGATGTTTTTTATTCCTAATACATCATTAGTTAATTCTTCTGCCTCTGTCAAAGGCGATACCTGTGATACAGATTGTAGCAGTTCAGAATTTAATAAATAGTTTCTGAAGTACTAATGGCTTCTGACTTGTGCAGACATTTTATACTTTTGTGATGGAAAAACAGTCCAACTGTTTCTTTTTAAGCACAGAAATACCAAGTTTGTGAATCCAATAATTATTTCTCAAATTGCTGGCCAGTACATTTTCATCAACTTTGTTGCATCAGATTGGAAGTTATTTCAGCTAAAAACTGTAACTTCAAACCTTTCCCTTTATCTTCACCCCTTCCTCCCCCAAAATTAAAGCACTACAGCTCAGTTCCATGTGAAACAGAAAGAAAGAGCATGCTGTGATCTGAAAGGTAACAATTACTACAGGCACACTATGTTTTTTGGTACAGTTCTCCCTCTCTGCCCCTCTCCCATCCCAGTCAATGATACTGAATTTTTTGGTCTTTAAAAACAAAAAAAATCCAGAGTTTTTTGGTTGATATGTCCCATGCAGCATAAAATGATAATGAAATGGAACTAGACAACCCGAACAAGGTCAATAGGTATCTTGCTAAAATTGCTTTTCTAATCATATCCATCCTTCATTATAGCAGACATTTAATGTTCTCCTTTACATTTGAGCATTAGAGTAGTATTGCTTAGAGTCCAGTACTTTTCAGGAGTGCTATTAGACCCGAGGCTGGAAATCTCAATTATAGTGAGTGGGGAGGTTAGGCTTCTCAGCACCTAAGCAAGGCAGACAGCCTCTGGCAGAAAGAGACATCAGGAGGAAGGCCTTCTAAACGATCCTGTGCTGCTAAATAAACTGCAGAAATCACTAGGCAATTGTTAGTATTCCTATCTACTGCAGCAGGACAGTGGTGTCGCTGTGAGCATCAATACTGCTGTACCCTGCCATAAAACTGAAAGTGGAGGTCTCTGCTTTAAAATTATGCCATAGCTTTCTGCTTAAAAGTACAAAAGAAATACTATTTACAAATTTTAATTAAGCCACAGCTTGAATGTAAATAAATAAATAAAGAAAGATGGGAAAAGACATGAACTAATAAACACAAATGTAACAACAGACATGCTAAAACTACATATAAAGAAAACAAATTTGTTTCACTTCATAAAAAAAGTTTATCAACAAGTTATAACAATTTTACATACTAACCCTTATTATAATACTACAGTCTGGCTCTTTTCTTTCCACATAAACTTCAATTAACAAATCTCCAGCTTGGGAAACCTAAAACAAAACACATAAGTTACAAAAATTAAAATGCATTAAAATGTATATAGCTTTTTTCATAATTGGGAAAATACAATCATTATTTCACAGCAATAATAGAGTCTTATCAATACACAAACCTTCTTCCATTTTCTAAGCTGCAGAAAGCACCAGCATCCATCTGATCAATCATAGATAGGTCTCTGTGTCTGTCATGGAGATTGCAGAAAACATGGACTTTCCACGACCTCCGTGACTTCTGCAGTGGTCAACGTGGCTGTCCCCAGGTCCGCCCAAACAGCTGGCTCCGGGGTCAGGCGCTGCTCAGGCAGCCCCGGGCAGTGGTCCCCAGGGTGGCCGGAGCAGCCACTGGCCCCACCCCCCTATCGCCCAACAGCGACTCCCCTCTCTCCCCGCAAGATTTAGTCAGGGGTATTTATAGTATAAATCATGAACAGGTCACGGGCCATGAATTTTTGTTTATTGCCCGTGACCTGTCCGTGACTTTTACTAAAAATACCCATGACTAAATTGTAGCCTTAATCATAGGAAGTCTCTACTGTAGGGTTGGCAACTGATTCAGGAAGAAATCTGAACTTGACTAATGCAGTCATGATCATATCTATCAAAATGCATATGAATTTTGAAGTATAGGTTCAGGAACAGGAATTCTAGCTAGACCAGTCATGGGTGAACATTATCGGGAAGACAGTCTATGCTTCAGAGATCCACCTCCAGAGTGCAAGTCAGAGGAGATCTGTGTTTAGTTGTCCAAGCTTGGAAATTTAATCTGTCGTATTAGCCAAACTGTATGGTCAGAAGTTGATCTCAAATTTACCTGATTCACTCACCAACATAAACCCATTTCACAACTATGATAAAAGAACAACTTGTTCGTAAAGCTCATAATGACCTTTGCATGGCAAAAGTTCTATTTCTCAGAGATTTTAAACTCTTCATCCACAACCACAAACCACAGAGGAGTTAATGCAACTCACCCTGGCAGCACAGCCAGCTCATATTGTCATATGGTCCCCTATTGCTGCACCTGCAAAACAACTGATGTTCCTGAGCATGATTCCTGGCAAAGTCAATGGAACTGAAATTAAACTTCTCTTCCTTAATATGACAGTGGAAGTTAATGATAGTCCATCTGCAGCTTCTAGGTTGTTTTCCTAGGGTATTAGGCTGCCTGGAGCATCTGCTCTCCAGCATTGTACCTTTGCTATCTACATCACAAATTACTGCTGAAGAAGAACTTGTCTGGGCTTTGGAGAAGACATAGCATACATGCTACTATAACACTTCGATGTGATTCTTTTTTCCTTTCAACTTAGTTCATCATTCATTTGCTTCCCCTCACAGGATGAAGGAGAATATATAGCTCTTTATATGAGAAAGCCAATGGTTTGGATTTTGGGGGTGGTGGTGGGAGAATGTGGGACAAACTTTAATAAGAAACAAGACAACAATTAATTAGAAATTAATTGATCATTAACTAAAATAGTTTAAAAACAACATTTAAAGTTCAACCCCCTAGCGCTCACACACACTTTTTTGCTTTGTTAATTATTTCATGAAAGAATACGATAAAAAAAAATTCTATTTACAGTGGACACCAATACAAATAGGATATTTATCACCTTCAGTATTTACATTAACTGAGGGGTTTGTGTTGTTTGCAATGAAAAGTATAGTGAATACTGCAAATTCCTGATAATGGTAAAGACTGGTGGTCAGTAAAAGTCTATTTTAATGGTACCTATGTAATCTTGTAAGGGGATATATTTTAGAAATATGTATGACTTTAGTAAGTGGTCAAGTTGATAAAATGGACAAAAGGTCACTCAGTGAAAATAATGGCACGTAAATGTATAGAAAAACAAAAGGAAATATTTCTACATGCAACGTGTAATCATTTTGTGGAATTCACTGTTCCAAAAGTCCAAGTTTTAAGATAGAATTAAGATCTTTTAAAAAAAATCTGTGATCATTAATAGCATTTGCGGTTATGCATACTAAGTGTAACCAAACCATCTGCTTCCAATCAGAAATAAAACAAGGATTCTGCCCCCCACACATTTACACTCTCCATGGACAGCTTTGGGCAATCGGCTAAAGACTTCAATGATATTTTTTTTCACTCCCATCTAGACATCAGATATTGGCCAACACTGAAAATAGGATGCTAAGTTGAATGGGCCAGTGGTCTGGTAAATATTGTGCTAATAAGTAGAATTTTTTTATGATAAGATTAAATAAACTGATTTTATGTTGACTACATATTAGTTCATATATCCAGAAATACAAATTGTAACATTCTTGTTAACTCAGACCTTTACTAAGGACTTGATAATTATGGAAGTAAGGTGAAAACAGAATTTAATGATGACCAAGTGGGATATATAAAAACACCAAACTTCTTCTTTTTCTTCTTCTTTTTTTTTTTAAATGAACAGATAGAGAATTTTCTATAGAAATCTGGCTTGCTCATTCATAACCATAAAGCCATCTACATTGTGGACGACAAATTTCATTGTTCCAAAGAGAAAATATCAAGTGATTTAAGTACTGAGGCTAGGTGCAGAACCTACACTCTTAAGAAGATAGTCATATGCCAATTTAAAGGGGCATAATTTGAAATCCTGTGATTGTGTATACAGTAGCAGGGTTTCAGGGAAGATATAATATGGAAGAGAATGAAAAGAGTGTGGGGAAAGGGGGAGGTTAATAGTTAATTTGAAAAAAACTGGACCTTTCATATTTGATCCAATATCAAGACTAGCATCCAAATGATGGTAAGTACAATAATTTGGGTCACAATTCTGAGACACAGAGACACAATCATGCTAAACAACACACACCTACATGCATATATATGGGTTAAAACCTGAGGAGGCTGAACAGGACAAACAGATTCAAGCTTCATAGTGTATGTAATAGGATATTGAGTAGAATAATGGGGTAACAAGGGAAGCTATGAAAAAATATTCTGATTAGTTTACAGAGACTGAAAAGTAAATACACTGCATCACTCAATTTCTACGAACATTGACATAATGGAGAAATTGTGACTTTAAAGTTAGTTTAGCTCCTGAGAATAGAAAACTAATGGAAGCATTTGTGAGGGAAAACATGAAGCTACTTTGAAGAAAGCTTCTTAATTACAGTGGCACAGACTCTGAAAATCTTAGTTCCTGGTAAAGTTTGCTTTTTAGATATTACAAAATAGGGTTGCAAGAAAGAACGAAGTTGACATTTGATTTCTACTGGGGTTATGTAAACAACTGTACATAAAAGAAATATGCTGCAAATTACAAACAGCTGGCAAAATGTTTGGCAGATAGAACACAAAGAGTGGTTAATGAACTGCCAACTGGAATGGAAAACGAGATCATCTTAAATGACATTTCAGACATGAGACCTTTCTTGGGTTGCAAAAGAAATCTGGGAACGTTAGCTTTTCCATACAGTTTTCTATATCCCCTTTATGTTTGTTCATTTTAAGTGCCTGCATTATTTAGTCTCCCTGCTCTAGCTCCTACATGAATGATGGAACAACAACTATAGTTCCAGAGAGCAGTGTTTTGACTCTCAGATCTTAATTGAAATAAGATTCTCACTCAGGCTACACCTACACTTGGAGTGTGATTCCCAGATCGCATAGACATGCTAGTTCTCATAGAGCTAATGCACTACAAATAGTAGTATAGCTGTGGAAACATAGGCTACTGACTCACTCTGCAGAAGCAGCTGCCTCCCTCTCCAACTGACCTGATACAGCAATGAAGTTGGGAGAGTTTTCCTAAATTGCTTGTCTGCTTAAACTGTGGTGATAAGAGCATGGGGGATTTTGCTGCCTTTCTTGATCTATCACCTCCCCTTTCTCCGTATAAGGGGTGTATAGGGTTTTGAAGGCAGGGAAGCAGCCTCATAGGCTATGAGCTGCAGAGAGCTGCTTCCCCCGCCTTTGAGATCCTATATACAGTACACACGCACGCACACAGACGCTGCTGCTGCAGGTGTGGTGTGGATGCAGATAGAAGATAGAGTGCAGATCATGAGTTGGACACAAGTGGATTCTTGTGGATGCAGATCGGATGCGGACCCGTATTTTTGTATCCAAGCAGGGTTCTACCTATGGTTACGTATGCAGGGCAGCTAATCCATGCTGCTGTTTGCTGCTCCCATGCTACCGCGGCTACACTACTTTTTGTAATATGCTAGCTCTAGCAGAGTCAGTGCATGGTTGTCGTGAGATGAGAATCACACACGCCTCTGGCTCCAAGTTTAGATGTAGACACAATTTCAAAGGACTAGATGACCGTGTACCTTATGCAGTGTCAGTTGGCAGCCAGCTGCAAGTCACATTCATAATACTAAAGAGGAAGGTTGGGCTTTTTAAAAGCACTCAGTATTGGCCTAACTCTCTTCCCAGTGAAGTCCATGGTAATACCCTCTAATTTCAATAGAACATAAGCACCACCATACTAATGGTCCATCTAGCCCAGTATTCTGTCTTCTGACAGTGGCCAATGCTAGATGCTTCAGAGGGAATGAACAGAACAGGCAATCATTGCATGATTCCCCTGTCATCCATTCATAGCTTCTGGCAGTCAGCATAGGGAAACCCAGAACATGGTGTTGCATCCCTGACAGTCTTGGCTATAGCCATTGACGGATGGACCTATCGTCCATGTACTTATCTAATTATTTTTTGAAGCCCATTTTAACAGTTTTGGCCTTCACAACATCCTCTGGCAATGAGTTCCATAGGTTGACTGTGAGAAGTAGTTCGGCCAGTGCTGCGTGCTTTTGAAAATCCCACTTAGAATATTTAGCAGGTAGGATAGAAGCACAGTACCCTAGAGGAAGTTTCTGGAGCCACTGTGCTTTAGGCAGGCAGAACACCCCATGGAGAGGATGCAGTCTATATACCTTGTCTTCCATGCATGCACAAAACAGCTCTCAGAGGAGTGCATGAATACACGAGTGTATTTACATATGCATAAGATACA